CTGACTTCTTCTCACTCACTCATTTGTATCCTTTTTTGTGGCGAGCTACAGTGTCATTGACACTTTCATTATCTTTAGTCTGCTGGTCCAACTAAAGAACCGAAGAAAAAGATCAAAGGTGGTGGAAAGAATGAGTCCCACCAACCAAAAAAAGGACCCAACGTCAAAGTTAAACTTGCAGGCATAAGTGGAGAGATCATACATGTTGAAGGTAAATAATTATTAAGATAGCATAAACTATTACTTTTTCTAGCATAGCCAGAATAGTCAGTAATAGATGATGGGTAACCAGTCTGTTCCTACCGTGTTCACATAACTTTGTTAGTGCAGCTCTAATTGTAGCATGTACTGTAGATATATAACGTATGGCAATCATGCATGCAGGGGGGGGGGGGTGCGGCTGGTTACAGTCTTGCTATGACTTCCTACTACAACTACTAAGTTCCATACACTTGAGACGTCTGCTATTGCATGGACACATTCTCTTTGTGTTCATTTCATCAGAAGAGGCCAACGTCATTGTGACTCAAGAAAAGATACCTGTGCCGACAGAGCCTGCCACTGAGACTGATGAGCTTGGGGAAACTACAGACCAGCCTAGTCCAGCAGAGGTAAGTAGGATAGACTCAGATTGATGATAGTTGTTTGTTGAATTATATAGGTTACTGTAATTTGTACTGGTACTAAATATATATCCATTGTATAAAGAATTAGAAGGTAATTCAAAATAATGTTGGGGTTTTTGGTTCTCTTTCGTAGCTATTGTTGTATCATACTCTGCATTTTCCTTTTTCCAAAGCATGCTCACTGTGTATTGCCTTTATTGTCCCGGATACAAAATGCACATCGTCTAGATGTTTTATCTTTAATCTATCTTCAGAAATTAATATAGAATAACAATTCAAGAAAATCTTGAATAGGTTGTTTTATATCATTATTAGTGTGATGAAACTTACTATATCCTTCCAGTTAGTACTAATTAATTGTATCTATCAACTCCTATTACCATTGTTGTGGTATATTAATTAAATTTAATAAAGAGAATCAATTATAAGAGTAATCAGGATAAGTAAACTCATTAAAATTTAACACATTTATTCAAACATCTGTATGAATTATAAATGAAGTGAGAGGAAATGGTGTATGCAATTCTGTTCTTTGCTCACGTATTTTTACAGGCGGTAGATCTGCTTGATTCACTCACAGGCTGTCCCCTCGCTGATGATATTCTGTTGTTCGCCGTGCCAGTCTGTGCTCCCTATTCTGCTATGTCTAACTACAAGCACAAAGTAAAGTTGATACCAGGAAACAACAAACGAGGAAAAGGTAGGATTAGCAGCTGTCATAAACGATCAGTTGAGATGCATAATTAATTCGGTTGTTTTTATGTTATACTCAGACTATAAACGTTGGTATTCACATTTTCAGCTGCGAAAACGGCCATTGCCATGTTTTCCAGAGACAGGGAGACTATGACTAGAGAAAAGGATTTGTTCAAAGGGGTCAAGGTGAGATGAGGCTCGCGGTGCTGTTCTACCTAGATCGTATAAGAACTGACAATTACTATAGCAATTTCTAACATTCAATGATTTCTTACCCATGTCTTCTATTTATGGCTGAAATAAGTACGCAAATATTCACACGCATCACATTATTTTGGCTTTCCCTTTTGTAGGATGCCGATGTATCACGAAATATTCCGGGCAAAGTAAAGATGTCAGCACCAAATCTGCACAAGGCCAAGGGCAAGAAGTAGCTCTGTATAGAGTGACACTTGCTACACTCACGGAAGAACAAGAATCATCATTTCACACAGGAAAATGGATTTCTGTGAATTTATATCTATGATGGTTATGCAATAGTTTTTTAAAGACAAGTTTAATTTCGATATTTTTACGTTTAAATAATACCGTATGATGATAAATAAGGTTTTATATAATTCTCGTATCAGTACGTGCAAGTGATTGTTATATTATCGGTTTATAGAGTTTAAGTTCTTGTCCAAGTCGTGTTAATAACACCTAGATTTACATTGACACAAACTACAATTAGAAGGTAAATAAGCAGGATTAATGTACTATAATGGCACAGACTATTGCATTTGATGCCAAAATAAAATGAAATTGCTGAAGATATGTGAAATTCGTGGCATTAATTTTTGTGTGGATATGAGATCGGACAGAATATATAAACCTGGTTTGAATAGAGACAAAACTGTGACATCCTGATTTTATTTGCGGTAAATTCGGCATTACATGTAGACCTAGAGGTATTTATAATTATTCTTTCAAAAAAATCACATATATATTGATGACATTTTGTACAAAAATAAGTCGTAATAATAACAGCAGACATCAGCTGTTTCTATGCCACTGCATTAACATCTTTAAAAAATAATGTCTTCCTTGGACGGCATTGCCGAGAATGTGAAACCACAGAATAGCTAGAGGCATCTTGCAGGGCTACAGTCACAACTGGATATCGCTTATATTGACATAAAGCACATATGATAGCTTACATATAAATAATCTATTTGTTCCTTTGTCATATATGTCTATAGCTGTTGAATAAACTATGAAAATGAATATATTATATTAAACATGAATATGCGATATAACATTGCCTAACTAAACAGTCATTGTTATAGTCACTTCTTTCTTCTTCGTTATTCTTTGAACATACAAAAAATATGGCCGAAATCAATATCAACAATATCGTTCTATAACTGAGACCACGTATACGATAGCTATTATATACTTGGACATTTTCATGAGGTGTTTCTGACTCCTCTAACGTGCTTGTATACAGTGCCCTGGCTCGGATTTCCTTATGATAACGTGTGGATAGTTTTTTAGTAATTGTGCAGTAGATGGTTGTAGACAGGTTGCAGAGCCTAGTTTGGCCTTGGTCTACCTCAATCACGACTATTATGTGTGGACAGTGACTTCGCTGTTACGGTTCTCTAAGTGGCGTGTATATATATATATATATATATACTAAAGAGCTCTCCACTCTCCACAAAAATACGGTGGCCATCTTCATATGGTTGACAGGTTAAAAAAGTTGTCTCCGCTTTCGATGGTCACTTCAGTAACCGGAATGCTGTATGGGCTGTCCTCTCTGCGTTGCTGCATCATGTCTGTTTTCACCTGCTTTGCAAGGTGGCAGCCTCCAAAAAGTGATACAATGCAAACGAAGCCTTCCAGTCCTGTTGGAAGACAAGCATGCAGATGAGTATGGGCAGCGTCATCGAGGTGGGTACAGGGGGTTGTCTTCCTCCCGCCTCCCTCCCCCTCTTCTCCCGCCTCCCTCCCCCTCTCCTCCCACCTCCCTCCCACTTTCCTCTCACCTCCCTCCTTTCCTCCCACCTCCCTTCCCTGTCCTCCTATCTCCCTCCCTCAACATCTCCAGGATC